TAGCTGAATGGAAAAGAATGTTGAGTGTTGAAGTTTTGGTGGTCCTTTTTCTCTATATTCTGTCAAGATTATGTCTTTGGTTTCAGATTAGTTCGTGCTTGGTTCAAGCAAATCCATTGTCTATTGAATTCTTAATTGGAATCTGATCTGACATTCCTAGTAAGCTTCATTCTATCTACTTTTGTAGCTGTTAATTTCATTGTGTTTTGAGGAATTTAATAGTCATTCTATATAGTAGAACCTTCTCAAACGACCAGACTTGTGGTCTCTTTTATTACTATTAATTCCTTTATGTTCTTCATGGTTTTGGGGTTATGCATAAATCTGGTTACATTGAAGACTGAGTGTAATCTTTTCAGATGCATTACTGCTCGAACTTAGAAAACGATGTCTGGCCCACTTAAAATTGTAAATGATGGAGTATTAAATCAGTATTGCCAGTTTATTTTTAGTAGGGAAAATTCTCGAATAGCACCCTATAGTTTGGGCCCAGTGCCAGTTTGGCCCCCAAACTTTAAAACATACAATTCAGTACCCAAACTTTCAAAATGTGCCAATTTAGTACTTACCATTAATCAGCTCGTTAACCAGTCGTTAAGTGGCATTTGAAATGACAAAAAATGCCCTTCGAGTGTCATCTAATTTTCTTTATCAACCATCCAAACATTGATAAAAAATGAACAGTCTCAAATCCTTGCCTCTTCTATTCAAGAAACTTGGGGTCACTAAAATGTCAACTAAGACATGATTCCAAACTTTCTTGAATAGAAGAGACAAGGATTTGGGACATTTCATTTTTGTCAATATTTGGATGGTTGATAAAGAGAATTAGATGACACTCAAAGGACATTTGTGTCTTTTCAAATGCCACTTAATGGTTGGTACTGACTTGACACGTTTTTAAAGTTCAGGGACCAAAGTAGCACTAGGCCCAAAGTACAGGGTATTAATTGGGAATTTTCCCTTTTTAGAAACTGATTTTTCGTTAAATTTACCATTCTGAAAAGCTTTTTGTTGATAGTAATTATAAACAAAGGTTTTAAAAAACTGAGCAGGAAATGGAACCGCTTGGGCCTCTGTTTTTGGGTCAGTGGTTCAACTGTCTAGTCAAACAGTTTGACCTGTGATGTCATAAATATAATAGTAAAATATAAATATTTAAAATATATTATAAAAATAAAAATTAGATAAACAGAATCAATTACTTCTGTAATAAATAAGGTGTTATCTTAGTAGCAAAAAAAAAGTGATATCTAATGTACTATTTTCTTATAACGTAATGAGAAGAATGTAAAAAGATAACTACTAAGTTGGATGGAAAAATAATCCTTGAGAATTGAGATTCAATTAATTGGTTCTTGTTAAATAGATAATTAAACTACTAAGTTCGATGGGCTATGTCTTTGTATCAAGGCACAACCTTACACTGTTTTCTGATGAATTGCATTCTCACGGTGGTTGTTACATCTTATTCTTGCAGTTGAGAGAATTTATTCTGGTGATCTTTGGAAGCGGTGAAGCACAGAAATTCTGGCACCGCTAAATTGAGGATTCCATGTTCATTTATGGGAGTAGAAGAAAGCTGTTTGCTTCTTAACCTAAATTAATTAGAGGCGCGTCTGAGAATGACTCCTATTGAGGGCTTACAGTCTTACACCTGCAGCCAGTAATTTATGTTGATTTAGATTTGCTGGTGCCATTTCTAAAGTTTTGCAAAATTACCGAGTGGTGCTTTGAGTTTTGGATGCCGTCAATCACCCTAGTCTTTTTTTTTTCTCTACCGTGTACCCCATCTTTTCTTTTTGGGAGAATGACAGTTCAACCCAGGATCAGAATTTGTAGGTCCAAATTACTGTTGGGGTAGGTGTCAATTCGGAATTGATGCTAATTCATGGGCGGGCATTGATGCATAGAGTGTGGATTGTTAATATTTTGATTGTTTATAAATCTGCAGTGGAAATCAGAAATTTGCATTAACCTATTCGTACTTTTCCGTTTTATTTTTTGCTGTTTAGTTTTACCACTCTTTTTATGAGTCTGGATTTACTCACATATCGGCCTCACACTGACCTCACAACCTGTCCTGGCCGCACATGGGAGATGCTCTCAATTAGACTTGTCCATAGGCCAGGGTCAGGGTTTGATGTTTGCCAAATTTTAAATGGATTCCGAAGCTCAAACCCGACAGTGTAAATCAGGCCCGAAGCCCAACCCGTGAATAAATCTATTCTCAATACAGGATAAAATGTAACTGTAAAGTCTGTGTAAGGCGCGCTCTGCGAGGAACAGATCCCAATTTTATCTGTATTTTGAAACACTAGTTGAGCGGCATCATAAATTGTAATTTTGGGATTACCGTGAGGCGCAGTTAAGTATCGGCATTATATTAACGCCCAAATGAATTAATTGATTAATGGAAAGGGGACGATTATATGTATAAAGTATTATTTGAGCCGCATTCAGCCAACCCAAGGCTTGAGCTAAGTTATTGAGGCAAGGCTGCAAGGGTTTTTGTTATTGCCTTGTCTCATTAACCTTTTGAAACCATTTAGCAGTTTGGAATGCTACACTTGGCAGGCTACCACTAATAACAACACCCTTCGTCAGCGATACGTATGAAAGTGAGAAAAAGACATGTATGAGCCAAATGGCCAATGATAAGCTTCCGTTTTTTAGCTGCGTTTGTTTTTGGTGGAAAATCCATCGATGTAACACTCGGTTGATGGAAAACTCAAACGATAATTTTAAAATTTTAGTGGATCGATGGAGCTTTTTTGATGTGATAATTGATGTAACTCTATATTGATAAAATTGATGTATTATTTACATCAATCATTGATGAAAAACTCAAACGTTGGAATCTTTTACATCCATTTTTGATGTAAACATTACATTGAAATGAATGTGTGAAAATACAGATTACGAGTGGAGTTTTATACCAATTTGTATTTACATCGRAAACAAACATGTGCCAATGCGTCTATGTTGGAGTTTTATGATAATTTACATTTACACTAAAAACAAATGCAGCCTTGGATCTTTTTAGAATACAAGGAGGGTTAAGTGTTAAAGTAGACATGTCATTGATCATAGATCATCTGTGATCACTGACCCTAAAAGCCACTAGTGTTAGTGATCACAGATCATGATATGTTAAAATACGAGGGGGGTAGGTGTCACTTACCAATCGCCACTAGCGGTGGTCATGGGTTGGGGTTTCAGGTGGGTTTGATGTGGGAAGAATTGGGTGCCGACTAAATTTGAAGTATTAAGCCTAGGCTTGGCTTTTCAAAATTGTGGGTCTGATTTGGACCCAATTTTTGACCATGTTGAAATGGTCACCCCCTCACTAATAGTGTATGCCATTTACTTGGATGAGTTTGGCTTCAATCAGGGCAAAGCTCGTTCGAGTAGTTTTTAGTGCCTTGCATTGAGAATATCTCTATACTTATATGCTTTATTTTATGGGGAGATATTCTCATTGCAAAGTTGGGAAAGGCTATTAGAATGGTGTGGGCACAGGTGTGCCCTGATGGAAGCCGATCTCTACTGGGATTAGGTGGGGGAGGAAATAGGGTGTGTTCAGTGCGGTTTGAAGAAAATCTTAGACTAAGGCAATAAAATACGATCTATAAAATTCTTCAACAAAACCAAACCATTGTGGTATGTAAACCAAACCAAACTATTTTGTTACAATTTGGTGTGGTTTCTAATATGGGTTGGGCCATTTCATTGCATTTAATCCAATTAGAAAGCCCAAACAACATATATATATGCATAAATTTACATGCTACTAAAATGCTAGTTTTAATAGCTACTAAAATGCCTATATTTATGTATTTTATTCATCTTTAAATGTAGATTCAATTATTAATTTTCACTTCATTTAATCCCATCTCATGAAGTCTTAGGTATTAAATCTCATTTTCTCTTATTAAATTCTATATTTAAGTTATTTTCAACAATCCGAATCAAATTGATCAACCTATAAAGTCATAGTTAAGTAATAAAAATTTTAAAATAGAAATAAATATAAAAAATTAGAAAAATGTAGAGAAAATTAGACACATTTATGATATTTTTATTAATCAAATTAAAAAATAAGTGTAATAAACAATAATTATTTTTATTGATAATAAAAATTAAATACATAATTTAAAACTAGCCAAAAATGAAATATAAAAACTATAATAAATAGTTCAACTTTTGGATTAAATGTGTTAACCTTTAATGTCATAAATAAATAATAAAATTTAATAAAATATAAAAATAAAAAATACATAAATTTTGCAAAAAAAACATTTAGGTGCATGTATAATATCATATATTTATTGTATTAAACAAAAAGTAAGTGTGACGTATCATAATTATTTTACACACAAAAATTTWAAAAAAATTATAGAAAAAATTGAGCACATCTGTAATTCTATATTTACACTATTATTAAAAATATGAATAAAATTTTGAAATTTTCTTCTGACTAAAATATTCATTTTTGAATTTAGTTCATATTTAATTGTAAGATTTAAATTGTTAATTGAACTACTACTTTTCACCTCATCAATTCCCTCTACTTAAATCTTACATTTTATTTTTGATAAATAAACAAAAAAAAAACACCAAAAAGAAGAATCTAATCGAGTAGATAGGCCTATCAATGATACTTGAAAATTCACAACTCGATCCCACATATTTGGATGGGGTGTTTATATAATCATATTTAGATTTTGAAATTTACATCGGATTAATAATAAAAAACAAAAAAATCTATAAAATTTATAAAAAAAATTTGGATACATTATTATTATCTTTATAATCTTCTAAAATTAATACTATACACATATATTTATTTAAATTTAAAATTTCTGGTTTGATTTATTTTACAAAATGCAGAATCGAACCAAATCTGAAATTTCAGTTCGGTTCGATTTGGTGCATGCACCATATAGTGGACTTTTTGTTTCGTTTTTGTTTTGTTTTTGTTTTGTTGTTTTTTTGTATATTGAACTCTCCGTAAAAAACAATTGTGGAATTGGGTGTTGCATTTGCTTCACATCTGCTTTTTACCCGCAGAAGTAGAGGATGCAGTGGAGAAAGACCCTTTCCTTCCCTTCTCCAGATGAAGTTGTCCCAGTTCAATGGCAGCGGCAGCGGCAGCAGCAGCAACAACAAGAAGTTGCTCTTTTTGTCTCCGATCAGAGGACTCTCTATTTGGTATTTTCTCTCCGTCTGTCTGTCTATCTGTATCTCTCTCGTGATAGTATTATTGATTTGACTTGAATTTCTCAGGTGAACATTTTCATTGTGAACATGGTTCGTTTTTTGAATCGATTCTCAGCCCTCTGTGAGGAAAAACTCGCCCACGTCCACAGGTATGAACCTTCCAGTTTCTTCATTCCGGTTACTCATGGAAACATATCTTGTTAGAATAAGATTATTCAAGACCAAAACAGAAAAAGGAAGACATAGCTCTATGCCTCCTTTTGGTATAGCTGGTTGGGTCTGCTTTAACCCCATTTTGATACCCACACGGAGAAAATAAATCTAAGAGAAAGGTAATAAAGGTAATTAATTATTTTGTTTAAGGTTTAGTTTTTCATAACGGATCCTATCTTGAAAACCAGAGGAAAAAGGGAAATTAGTTATTCTGATTTTTCTTATTCTAATTTGTTCATTAAAGCTCTTATATTTCTTAGTTTTCTATTGTTGGAGTTTTTTAATTTTAGTTATTCTAGTTGTCAACTAGTATTGTAAATCTAGGGTTTGTATGAGAAAGGAAGAAAGAAAGAGAGAAAGGAGAAGAAGAGAGGAATTTGTCAAATGTGTGTTCTTGTTACTATTCACACCCTCAAAAAGCATTTTATATTTTGAAACAAGAAATTACAAAGAGGTCCCTACTTGGGAGCCCAAATACAAAAAGAGTACAAAGAGAAGAGGTAAAGACTAAAAACACCATTGCCTAAACTTTCTCAACATTCCCCATCAAGCTGGGCATATATGTCAATCATGCCCAGCTTGGCAAGGTTCTTAGCAAACTTTGGGTGGTGAACACCTTTAGTGAGGCAATCGGCTRGTTGGTCTTTCGAACTTACAAAAGGAAAGCAAATCTCTCCACTAGCAATTTTTTCTCTAATAAAGTGTCTATTCACCTCAATATGCTTTGTACGATCATGTTGAACAGGATTGTGGGTAATGTTTATGGCTGCTTGATTGTCACAATATAGTCTCATTGGGATATCCGCTTGGAGCCCATCTTAGCCAATAAGGTCTTCAACCAGAGTAGTTTAAACACTCCATGAGCTATTGCCCTGCATTCTGCCTCAGTACTAGAACGAGCAACCACAGATTGTTTCTTCTCCATGAAACCACATTGCCTCCGACTAATGCACAATAACCAGATGTTGATCTTCTATCATCAATGGACCCTACCCAATTTGCATCTGTGTAAGCCTCAATCTTTAGATGGTTGTAGTTGGAATACAACATCCCTTTACCAGGGCATCCTTTCAAATAGGCTAAAATTTTATTAACTACCTACATATGAGAGGTCCCAGGTTCATGCATATATTGGCTAACCACTCCAACAACGTAGGATATGTCAGTTCTAGTCAAACAGAGATACAGAAGGCGGCCCACCAATCTTTGATATACCCCTCTGTCTGGAAGAACTTCTCCTTCAGTAGCACTCAACTTGTGGTTGGGATCAATTGAGTTTCTACAAGTTTACACCCTAATTTCCCAACTTCATGAAGCAAATCAAGTACATATTTCCTTTGTGACAGAAAAATTCCCTTTTTAGATCTTGCAACTTCATTGCCAAAAAAGTATCGGAGATCACCAAGGTCTTTAATCTCAAATTTGGAAGCAAGGAAGGACTTTAACTGGGAGATACCTACGATATCGTCACCTGTCACAACAATGTCATCAACATATACTATCAACATTGTTACTCTTCCATAAACTCTTCTAATGAATAAAGTGTGGTTTGCCTGAGATTGAGAAAACCCAATCTTTAAGATGGCATTTCTGAGCTTGTCAAACCATGCTCTAGGAGATTGCTTGAGCCCATACAAGGACTTCTTTAAGCAACAAAATTTTCCTTCACTGTTAGGAAAGCTCACCCCAGGTGGTAAGTCCATATACACTTCCTTTTGTAAGCCCCCATTGAGGAAGGCATTCTTCACATCCATTTGATATAAAGACCAAGAGTAATAGGCAACAAGAGAAATGACCACACGAATAGGAGTTCATTTTAGCAACTGGAGCAAATGTTTCCAGATGATCAATGCCATAAGTTTGTGTATATCCTTTGGCTACAACGCCATGAGGCGTGCTAGGGGGGTCTTGCTCCGCTCTAGTGAGCTCTCGCCTCCGCTTCGACAAGACCCCCCCTTTCAACTAATGTTATGCATCTTTATTTTTCTTAATATAAAAGATTTTTATCACAAATAAAGAAAAAATGAGATCCCCCCTTCCTCTTCATCCTCCTCCTCCTAACCCCTTCCTCTTAAGGAGGCTTACGCTTCCTTGTGTTTAGGAGGCTTACGCCTCTTGCGTTCTGAATTATGCCTCACGCCTCTAGGTAGTGGAACGCCTCGCATCACACCTCCACGTTTTAAAACATTGATTGGACCTTTAGAGAGTCCCACTATCTCTGACAGGTTTGCTTTCATAGTGGCAAGAGGAGGAGGTCATGGGAATAGAAGAGGAGGCCGATGTGGTCCTATGTTTAACCGCGGTGGTGGGCATAGTGAAGGTTGAGATTTAGGGGGAGGTCATGGTAGAAGACACAATAATGGTCTAGGAAGTGCACATACTATGGAATGGAGGGGTATACTATCAATTTTTGTTATGATCTGCATTGGCCAATCATGTTGTGACAAGTGGTGTTGGTGAAAACTTACAAGCTGACCAGACACGTTCTACATTTGTAAGTGCATTAGGAAGGAGATGGCAAGTGTTCCACATGATGAATATAAAAGGTTTCTCTAGGCTTCCTCGTAGAACTACACTGCTACCCTTGCCCACTTAGGTATAGCTTGTTTGGCATCCAAACCGTCCCATTGGATTATTGACTTTGGAGCTTCCAATTATATGACTGGGACTTTAGGTGTGTTTTTCTTCTTTTCTTAGTCCTCCACATTCCAAATACCCTAGCTGATGGTTCTACTTCCCATATTTGTGGTGTTGGTAATGTAGAAAACGTTGTTTTTAAAGTTCCCAACCAACATGGACAAGAAATCCAACTGCAACTCAGGTCTTCAAACCCTCTGAGTCTCAAACTGTAAGAATTCAGATGTGTCTTCCCTGTTATGAGACTGAAACAAAAAGACCTCTCCAACATTATCACTCAATGGAAAACACCAATGCCATTCTGTGCATGTCCATGTCAAAACACCAACTTTTGCTAAGCTCAACCTCACTAAAGAAGCATCTAGGCTTAATGATTTTTTTAAAGTAACTTCAACACAATCTTGAGTTATTTATTTTTTGTTTTCTCTTTAAAAAATTCAACATATTGCAGGAATTTCAGCCCTAAAAGAATAACCTAATCAAATGAAAACCTTATATCTCTAGATGAACCCTCATGACTCGCCCTTAACCCCACAGACCCAAACCTTGGACCTAAACCTTACAAAGCATCATTTGTTTTTGAGTTTTCTCCTCAAAATTGATAGTTAAGTTTTGGATCATTTCTGTCCTAAAGTTCCTTGCTCTTCCAACAAACAATTTATCAATGCATTTCTACCAATTTTGATCCCAACTTAGATGATCAAATGGCAAGTTGCAAAGCAGTGTCCATACAAACTTCCAAGTTTTCTAACTTTACGAGTATTCCACATGCTTTAAAATTGATGCACTTCTTTGTAATTTAAGTTGCAGAATCTATTAAAATTCAAGTGCATCTATTTTAATGATTGGAACGACCAGATGGTTGTTGCTAATAGTTTTTAGTTTTGTGATTGTTCAGGAGAATATTGCAGTTAGATGCTTCTCTTACACTACTAGAGGCACAGTTAACGAGCATTGATTGGAATAAAATTGAAGAGCATTGTAGCAGGTCAGAAGATGCTGGATCTTCAAAATAACCAAATATACATAATAATCATTTATCTACGGAAAGTTCCTGCAGTATGTTAATCTGGGTTTAGTTTGAATGTTTTCTTTTTTCTTGGTATATAGTTGTACCTTTTGCCTGATGAAAGTAATGTTCTTTTATGATTTTCCTACCCCATCTTTATGGTAGAAGTTACCCTAGTCATACCCAGTGTTAACGAAATAATTCACCCAAATTGGGATAAGTTGCCTTTTCTAATTGGGAACTGTAGTGCTCATGTAGATTAGCCATTTCTGGGAGAAGTGCTAGAAAAATGTGGTTTTGGGGAAAGATGGAGAAGGTGAATGGACAGGTGTACTAAATTCAGTAACGTACTTTATCTTAATAAATGGGATGTAAAATATATTTTCCCAGCCAAGAAGGGATTAAGGCAGGGAGATCTGCTCTCCTTTTTTCTCATTACTCTTCTTGTAGATGTGCGTAGTAGATTAAGTTTTAGGGCAGATGAATGTGGGCTGATCATGGGATGAGAATTGAAAGGGAACAGATTGTAATAACACATTTTCCCTTTGCAGATGATATGGCATTATTTTGTTAGGACATGTGAGGGGAGGTAGCAAGGAACATGCATTTACTGGTTCAGTGTTTTGAGGTACCTTGGAATAGTACTGGGCGGGAATGCTAAATAGTGTGTTTTTTGCGACCCAATGTTGGATAGATTCACCAAAAAAAAAAAAAAAGAAAAGAAAAGCATGCAACTTGGAAGAGGCCCCATATCTCATTGAAAGGATAACCTTGTCTATCCTCCCACCAGTATTTCCTCTAGGTTTTTCATTCCCCAACATTGGTAACTAAAAGACTAGAAAAGATAAAGAGTTTTTCTTTGGGAACTGGGTGAAGCTTAAAAGGACAATTTGATAAATTGGGAGTTTGTGTGTAAGAGAAAGGCTTTATTTATTTATTTATTTATTTTTTCGGGGGGGGGGGGATAGGAGTGGGGATAATTAGATTAAACAGTTATTAGGAAAATGACTTTAGAGATATCCACTAGATGAGGTGATAGGAAGTATATATTGGTGCTCATCCAAATAGCTGGGGTGCTGGCTTGGTTGCAAGATCTACTCTAGCTTCTCCATGAAAGTCATTTTCTTATTTGCCCGTCTTTCTTGAACTTCACAAGGTATGATGCTTGTTTTGGGAATAAAATTGAAGTTTTGGGAAGAATTATGGTGGGGTAATGTTCAATTTAAAGGATGCTTTTTCCTCCTTGTACAACCTTTCACCTCTCAAGCTTAATTCTATTTTGTGGTTTGCTTCACCTTCTCTTTTCTCCCCATTGTGGCTGGTCTGGAATTTTAGTTTTAGTAATGGGCCCAAGGGTCTCCAGAGTTCCTCTAGTTGCTCTTCTAAAGGACGTCCTGTTTGGATCTTGAATCTGTCCAGAAATGGTGGCAGGATTTGGAGCTTAAACCCCTCTGGTTCCTTTTCTTTCTCTTCATTTGCTTTAGGCCTTGACCCAGTCCCTTGTTCATTCATTACTACTACTGATGGCCCTGGGTTCCCCATGCTGCATCTTTTAAAATTCAGCATAACCTGGTTCAGATTTGGGGGCTTCTGATTAGCTTGAACCAAATGCCTTGTAGTTGAACATCTTGATACTCACTGCCATCCCCTTGATAGGATACAACACTTGCTTAATCGGACTAAAGTTCTCAAAACTAGATACTTTCCATGTTACAATTATTTCACGATACAAAACTCAGTTAAGGACTCTTGGGGGTAGAGGATCATTTTAGTGGGGAAAGAAATAGGCAGGTGTTGTTAGGGATCAGTTTGGGGATTTCTGTGCCAGGGTTCAATCTGTAATTCTATGTTATAGTTGTCTTTGTTTTTATTTTTCCTCTTGAAGCTGGTTTTGTAATATTTTTGGGCCTGATGCCTTATTCCTAGGGCAGCTAGGAGATTTTTCTAATAGTTGATAAAAAAAGAAAGAGTTACTAGAAAAAATGGTGTTTGTGGAAAATTGGCTATGGACAATTATCAAAAGGAAAAAAAAAGGCTATGGACAGAATTTGCGTGGAAGGGCCCTTGGATTTCATCTAGGATAAACGTGTTGGGCGCACAAGAAAACAAGGTGTTTTACTGTATATAATTTCGGAAAAATGCCAAAGGACCCATGCTATAAACAATGCAATTAGATTTAATGTTTTTAAAGATTTAGTGCCTTCGGTGTTTAATTGATTTGACTTTAGGTGCTATTTGGATGGATTTAGTGTTTTGTACATGTCATTGATGCATGTGACATACGTATATGCACATGGCATACATGTATCATTGAATACATTTTAGTGCCATGTGGCATTCATATATGTTATTATATGACATGTGTCATTAAATACATTCTAATGTTATATGGCATTCATATATATTGCCACATGGCACGTGTCATTAAATACATTTTAGTGCCATCCAAGGTTCTAAATATCGATACACTTGATATGCCTGATACGCTAGTAAGGGCATATCAGGCGATATCGATAATTTTTTTTTCACTTTTTTTATTTTTTTCAAAATCGGTTCTGGGGGGCCGATTTAAGGCTCCACCCCCTAAACCAGTCAGAACCCTGATACACCTTTTGTAGGGACATATCGGGGAGCTCCCGAAACGATATGTATCGACTGATACGTGTCTATACTTTGAACCTTGGTGTCATTCGGCATATTTATGTTTTGTCACAATGGTACGTATCATTGATTACATTCAAGTGCCACATCACACATAATGTCATTTAATTCATCCGAGTGACATGTGGCATCTATATATGTAACCATATGGTAGGGATTTAAATGCCACACATGCAATTAATGCACATGCTGTAGACAACATAAAGCACATTTTGGCCTCAAAAGCACAAAATATGAAAAGCCAATTTAGTGATTTTACTATTTCGTATTTTTGTAAAAGTATAAATGATGCCAACCAAACTAAAAGTGTTTCTGGTACCATCGTACATAAAAGTCTATCCTAACAATACCCTATTAAATCATTTAACTTATAGATTGTAGTCAATTCAAATTCATGATTGCACAAAGAGTCTCTTAAACACAAAGTGATTCCATAATCTATTGAAAAGAGTACAAGTCGTTTTTGCACAATTCACATATACAATTCTCTTGTCTCTCTCAATCTGATAAAAGAGTCTTTAGAGAATCTTCAATTTTGTTGGTTGTAGTATCTCACCCGACTTTGTTGTATCTTGGGCTCGATTTGGAAAGAATGCAAATATAAATATTCACAGTTTATGTAAATTATAACATTTGTATTTATAATGAACATATTTGTATTTATACTATTCTCAAATGGAGTCTTGAGTAGGGGTGTTCACGGTTCGGTTAATTGAACCGTGGGTCTTTTTTTGTAACCGAATTGGTACTATCGGTTTTTGGAAAACCGGTTGACCGGTTTGGTTAACCGTTGGCTTGGTTCATCATTTTTTTATTTTTACAAAATATATTATATAAATATATAATAAAAAAATTATAAACATATAAAATATTATATTTTAAATAATAAATAATATATCATATATTATAAGTATATATTTATATATAATATATATTTATTAATTTATAATATATAAAAAATATTAAATATATATAATATACATAAATATATATAAAATATATAGAAATATATGTATATCAGTCGGTTCAGTTAACTACTGGTTTTCCATATTGGTTAACCAAAATTGAACCGATACCTTCATTTTTTTTTAAATACCGAACTGAAACCAAACCGACTGATTCAATTAACTGATTTTTTGGTTTGGTTTCGGTCAGTTCAGTTTTTCAGTTTTTTTGTTCACCCTTAGCCTTGAGCTCAGCTTGGGAAGAGTGCAAATACCAACATATCTGTACTTATAAAACGGAACTTGACTTCGTATTGGCATTTGGTGCATGTCATAAACGTTAAATTTGATTATATGATGTTAGGTTATATCTTTATCCTTGTCCACCTGCATAGCACATTCCCTTGCACAAGTACAGGTATATTATATTATTAAACCTTGTATTTGTATTTGTGCTCTTTTCAAACTAAATGTTGAAAACAAATTTACTTATAACTCAAAAACAAATTCAATCTATTGAATGAAGGGCAAATAACCTTCTAAAACCAGTGTTTAGATACGTTTTAGAGTTTCACCTCTAACTACATCTCCAACAGAAACGAATTAGGAAATTCCAACGTTATGACCATCCCAAAAGTCAAGTTTTTTTACTTGGAGAGCAATATACGGCAGTCCTGTTATGGGGAAGCTTTGACGAAGAAAAATAACAAAGAACTCCTTAATACAAAGTTATGACCATCCCAAAAGTCAAGTATTTACTTGGAGAGCAATATACAGTAGTCCTGTTATGGGGAAGCTTTGACAAAGAAAAATAACAAAGAGATCCTTAATACAAAATTTGTGGGGCTAGAAGAATAGTTGATCATGCATCATTATATTATGATATTAGTGGGGAACAGTGCGATGTATGGGATTTATTAAGCGAAAGATAAATAATAGAAAATGGTCATTTACTAAAATATTTTTATAGTTTCATAGATTTACTAAAATCTACCTTATAGTTAGCATTTTACTAAAACACCATTTATGGTTTGCAATGGATTTAATCAATCTTCCATTAGATGATAGTGAAAAATGACAGTGTTGATCCTAATATTCATTTAAATGAATTTAATCAAAAGAAAATAAAAATAAAAATATCATTTTTGCCCTTAATAAAACATGAGCAATCACTTTATTGGTTATATTTGGCCAATTTTGTTTTTTGTATAAAAAAATATTAAGGGTATTTTTGGAATAAAAAATCATGGGCCAAATGGCAAAACAAACACTCTTTAATAAAATGTTGATTAAGTAAATAAGTTGTAAAATATATGAGATGTTTTAGTAAAATGAAAACTATAAGGTAGGTGTGTTATAGTAAATGATCCTAATAGAAACACATAAGAATATACAATTGTTTTATATTTTCAAGTTTTTAAATAATTAATAATTATTCATATTTTACATACTACTTTTAATAAATTTTTTATAATACAAAAATAACAATAATTAATTTCAGTTAGGTTTATTCATCAAACTTATGAAACCAACCAACCCGATCAACTCGACCCGAGTTGGTCGGTTTTTTAGTAT